GAATGCATAATAGAGTATAATAATAAATATCCATGATTGTACAAAATAAAAAAAATAAAAAAAATGAAAACTTATACAAACTTAAACCCCTAACTCAGCTAATCTACAAACTCTTTTCCTCTCTTAGATCCTGAAAATAAAAGGAAGAATAATTATAAGCTAACTCAGCTCAGCAGATCATATTTACAAATCTAAATTTCTAAATTATCATTATAAAGTGTTTAACTGAATATTTAAAAGTGGTAGATAATTCACCGTGTTGAGCAAAATAGTAACTGTAGTTATCAAATTTTTTTATAATAATATTAGGAAATTAATCAACAAGCAATTCATATACCAAAGTAAAAAATAAAAAATTTTCCCTCAGGTCCTTCTGTCTCTCATAAAAAATAAATATCATGATTTAGATCCTTATAAATCCCCTTGTTACCATAACATAAAACTGACCCTTATCACTCCCAATGTTTAATCTATTTTTTATTGATGAAATATAAATACAATATGTTTCCTACTCATTCTCTTTTCTATTGATGTCATTTAGAGAATATGCATCAATGATCACTCAGTCAAGTGTGAAGCGATAAAAAATAGATTAAACCCTTCCAACCTTAATAACCCTTTAAACTCTTATAGTTTGTTACCTAATAAAAAATCTGCTGACAGTTGAGCTCTGCGGCATCCATGTTGCACTCCCCTTGACTTAGCGGTGCTGGAATTTGACATCGTGGAGCCGTGCAGATAAAGATTGGCCATTTTCTATATTTTTCTATACAAACACAACTAAAATATCATATTTTCACTGATAAATTAACACATAAAACATAACATTATTTACACTTATTAATGACTCCAAGTAAATTCAACATCAAAACTTCCATAACGTATTAGACCTTCTTAGAACCACACATTTAATTTCTTAATAAAATAAGCACATAATTCATTGCTCTATATAAATGAGCTTATTCAAAATTTTACAATATGCTATAACAGCGGACAATACACCACTATATAAAATTCACTATTTTAGAATATAACCAAATTACAAATGAATATGGAAAATATTATTGTAAGCCTTTAATTGTACTATAGCATTATTTTTTTAGTTCAAAATTATTTTCCACATTATTAATAAGATAAAGTTTTCAAAACTCATGTTATAAAATTTCTTGAAAACTATCTAAATTTCTAGAATTTCTATCTCTATAATATACAAAAAATTATGCGGCGTAAGTTTTGTTGGTATTAAATTATCCTTATTTTTTACACAAAAATATAAATTAAGTTATTTTTTTTTAATTTCAAAAATTTGAAAACTAAGAAAGGCAAAATTTAACCTACTCAATCCAAAAAACTTTCAAAACTAGACCATCAACTAAAAAAAGATTAAAGTCGCCTAAATTCATCTCTCTCTCTCTCTCTCACTAGCCTACAACCCTTAATGAATAGAATGAAAATGATATTTTATAATTTAAAATTTAACCTAGTAATGCCCAATGGCTTATTGCGGTCCCCAATTACGCTTGTTGCTACACGCTGTCAATGAGCTAATGAACAGTGCCACAATGCCACCCTTAACACGATTCATTATTTCTTTTTTTTAATTCCAGAGAGCTTAGCATCAAGTGCCACCAACCCCAGCACCACGAGGCCCTCGGTAATGTTTTAGATTTTTTTCAAATATGCAAAGGACTCTCAATACCCACTTTGAAACACATGTAGACTCTCACATGTATATAAAATATTCACAGACACATAAAAGGTTTCAAATACAAAAATTTAACAAATTACCTTAAATCTAGTTGGGTAAGAATGGGTTGAACTGTATAATGACTTTACATGTGTTACATGAAGTCATTGAAAGGATTGCAAAGTTTGCCTTTAAATCACAGGTTCGAGATTATATGACTTATATTCACAACATATTTCATATGTTTCTTTTGAAAAAAATAGGTAGCTAAATCTAGAAGATGAACATCAACAAAAGAAATTTATGTACATTCAAATCTTTGCTATAGAGAAGAACTAGAGAGAATTTTGGCTTATGATGTTAGGAGATTATGAAATAAACATAAAGTTCAATGGAAGAATAAAATGGAAAGAGAAGATACTTTCTACTTGGGAGAATGAATCTGATTGATAGTTTGAGTTTTGAAATATTGATGACGAGGGGAGATTTTTAAGATCTGTAGATTGAATATATAGTTTAACCTATTATAACCCAACTTAATTCAAGATATTCTACTTGATATCTTCATTTGAGCTCTATTGCCTATGTTAGGAAATAATTCATGTTGGTAAGGTATTGAAGCATGGTGATATTACCCATAGAAATGTGGTGAAGTTCATTCTTAAGTTGTATAACTCTGGACCTTTTTGTCGCCTGCAGGCGACGTTCCAGTGTGCTCTAAATGTCACCACACGTATCCAAGTGAAGAATGTAGGAGAAGATACCAAGTGAAATGGTGGCGCAGATTGCCATTGCAAAGTTTTGATCGATGTGAGTCCATCGATTGTAGGCTAGGATGGGGATGGAGGTGCCACTGATGTCTATTAGGATGTGCCGGGGAGCTGGAGATGATTTGTTTAGGAATCCAACGTAATTATTTGAACGAAAATGTTTCAGGATCTAAGATTTTTGTGTGGAGTAGTTTTCAATTGAGATTTGAAGGGGAACTATTGTTTTTATATTGGAGATAAGAAATTTGAGAGAGGAGGGAGTGAGGATTCACTATTAAATTATATCTTTATGGGAGTCAGATGGATAGATATCTAAAAGTAGCAAGGGAGGAGTGCTGTGGTAAGAGATGTTCCCATGTGTAAGTTGCTTGTTAGTGAAAATGGGAGATAAGTTAATGTAAGAGGCATCCCACTTAATCAAGACTCTACCAGGTTGGACATGGCTGACGTTATTGTAACTTTCCTCATAATGAAAGAGTTTGTGATTGTTTCCGAGTCATTTGTAGCTTTGCTGTTGACTTTTGCTTCAAGCATGCAGAAAAAGTTGAGCTTATGGACATTGATAAGATTTTTGCATGCACGAATCCTATCAAGGCCACTGAACCTTCTGACATTCCCGCAAGCAAATGAGGGGAAGATCATAGGGATTTTGTTAGGGTGGTAGCTAATTTTTGTGGCCTTAGTAAACTTTGCGGAAGTTGTATTTTTCTTCTAATAATTTTTTTGTCATTTCAGTTAAATAATTGATAAAAAAAGACTTAGTGCTTTTGCGAGTGTTCAATCATGGCAGAGTTTTCTTAGGGAAGGCTTTAACGAGACGAGACCAAAGTGTTTGATGAAGAAGAAGAGTTGGCGACGAAGTGGAGTTGGTGATTGTAATTGAACCTTGGCTCGAATAAAGATTTACAATTATGTTTGAACTAATTTTATAAATTCTCTTTAAAATTCTCTATTTTTTCTAAATTAAGATCCTGATCAGAAAATATTACTATTTCTCTCATAAATTCTCTATTTGAATGACAATCATGTCTTTAGGGTCTATTTGGGATGAAATTATTCTGTTCGGTCACCAGATGCGATCCAAAGGTGAATCAGGACGCACCACGTTATTTTTTTGCTATGTGCCAGTACTGTGTACTACCACGTATCGGGTGCCGTGGCGCATCATGATTCGCCTCCGGATAATCCAATGAACGCACAAAATAATCTCTCCTATTTGGGAAAACTACAGTTTTTGTAAAGGTTGTGGAAAATAATTTTTCAAAAAATTATTGTAGAAAGTAGTTTTCTAGCACAATATATATTTTTTAAATAAGCCAAAAAAATAATAGACCAATAAAAATCACGATTACTTTTTTTTTGGAAATAAATCATTATAATTGCCATCTAAAAACAAAGCAAAACAGTAAGTTTCCTAAGCTCAATCCTAGGTACTTAGATTCTTTTGGATAGAATATAAAGGTTTTGACATCAAATCTCTTCTTCAAGAACCTTGCCATAACAGCATGTGATTTAAGGATTTTCTAAGCTCGCTTGACTCGAAACTCCTTTTTATTAGGGGAAACCCGCAGAGGGGCCTAAACATAGATTAGAATAAAAAATACAAGATCCTTAAAAGCTATCTCGAGCTCACTACTGCTCAAAAGAGCTATAAAAAAGTCAAAGAAAAACTTAGAAGTAATGATATACAATAAATTAGTGATGTGACATGTCCTGATTGACCACCGGTTGATATCCGGTGACCGCACGTAATAATTTTGCACATCATACATATGCTGTTCTTTTGATTCAATTTTATATTGAATATTTAGTTTCCATATAATTAATGGCTAATTCAATTTAATTTTGAGCACATAGAAGTTGTATTTTTCTTTTAATATTTTTTTGTCATTTCAGATAAATAATTGGTAAAAAGCATAATGCTTTTGCGAGTGTTCAATCATGGCAGAGTTTTCTAAGGTAAGGCGTCAAAGTGGAGTTCGTGATTGAATTTGAACCATGGCTCGAATAAAGTACAATTACGTTTGAACTAATTTCATAAATTCTCTATTTTTACTAAATTATTATAAGATCCTGATCGAAAAATTTTACGATTTCTCTTATAAATTCTCTATTTAAATGACAATCATATTTTTTGAGTCTATTTGGAGAGAAATTATTCTGTACGGAGGCCAACCATAATGCGTCACATAAGCGATACCAAGCCGCGACACCGATCCACCGTACCTAACAAAGGGGTGACGTGTCGCATTCTTGTTGGTCTCCGGACATCGTTCGGCGTCCGCACAAAATAATTAATCCTATTTGAGGCAATTATAAATTTTGTAAATGTAGTTATAAAAATGTTGTGGAGAGTAATTTTTTTAAAGTTATTGTAGGAAATCACTATATTTTTTTTAGCACGGGTGTGATCTATCTGATGACATCCCTCATAGAAGACGTTTGACGACGTAACTAATTCCTAAACCAATCTACCCGAAATCAGACCCAAAAAATGATAGACCAATAAAAACTATGATTATAATTATCATAAGTTTCCTAAACTATGAGCATAGCAATGGCGTCATCGATATGCTGGGAAGTGGCTTGCACCGGCAAATGGGACATGTTGGATGTTGTCGGAGCCATTCATCCACACACCCAGCGTGGAATATATGGCGACAATCAGGTAAGAGTCGTAATATCTGAGAATCTGTATAATCCAATAAACAGATTGAGCAGAACGGATCATTAGCAGTAGATCCCACTTCATCTTCACCATATATGACCTTCGGGAAGCTTTTCAAAGTCGTCTCATCAATCCCCTGCTCCACATCAGCCAGCTCCACCTCCACAACATCGTCGCTCTGATGTTCATAGGCTCTGATGTTCTTGTTTCTCCAACGAAGGAAGTAGTAGATGATGAGAGTAACTGCGGTGATCAGAAGAAAGATGCCCATGGCGACCGCCATGCCATAGCCAAAGCCATGGAAGCCATCGGAGTTTAGGATGCTAACTCCCTCAGTGGCAGAGGAGGAGGAGGTGGTGGCCATGATTAGAATTTGAGGAAAGTAGAGCTGATTGGGGAAGAGAAAGGGGAGGGTGAGGCGATTTATATGTTGGTTGTAGAAGAGAAGGAATGTTGGTTGTGAGAGTTTTTGAAATGCATTTACAGTAAATACTGATCTTTTTTTTGGCTTCATTATGTGATGTTTAAATTAGTTAAAAATATAATATTTTTGAATAATAAAAATATTATATAGAGTTTATGTGGGACAAATTTTGAGCTGCTAATTTTCTTTTATTATTATTGCTTCATGCTTTCAGTCCTGATAATCAATTAGAGAGAGTCCAAAATGTAAGAAATTTCTCTCTCGTTTGATATTCCACCATTATAAATTCTGTTCTTTGAGTCGTTTGACTCAGCAAAAATGATGAAGATAACAAAGGAGATTAAAGAAATCAATTTTAAGCCTACACATTATTTAGGAATCAGAGAGAATTTGAATACAGAGGCTTCATTTGGAATATCTTTTTTAGTACTTTCTAAAGCAGCTTTTTAGTGCTAAATTTTTTGTTCAAAAAATTTGTGTACTAAAAAGTCATTTTAGAAAGCAATAAGAAAATTGTCCCAATTGAAGCCTTAGTTTCAATATAATTATAGTTAATTCAATGTATAATATACATTGAAATAAAATATATTAAGCTTCTCTATCATTCTTCTCACCCTCATTTACTCAAGCTTTTTGTCAACTCTTAGGATTCAACATGGTATTGGAGCTGTCGCCTAATAATACTTTCATGTTTTCTATTTTTTCGTCACCAAAATCTACTTCATCCTTATGGTTGATTCTCCAAACTTCTGATTCTTTGGAAACCTCTAATGTTAAAATGAGACAAATCACAAACCCCATCCCCAAATTTTAAACTTAATTTTATAATGTCTAATATTATACATATTGTTGAAACACAATCAGAGATCTAAGAGTTTGAAACTTTTTAAAGACAATTCTTTTAATAGCTATCTTTATGAGATTAAATTTTATCCTAAATTGCTCCTTAGCCACATTGGCCAAATCTCACGAAACCCAAAATACAACATGTGGATGCTTATAGATAAAAACTTAAGACTGGCATTATTCTTTACATTTTTGCATCAATTCAACCTCATATTCACAATGGAATTTTGTTCCTAGATTTGTCACACCATTAAAATGTTGCTTTAGTCCATAAACCATTATTGAGTTCTTTTTTATAAAGATGAACTTCATAATGTCTTGATGAATACTAAATCTATGACATGATACTTTTCCAAAATAAATTCATGGCCGATGACATTGCAATGACTATTTAACATAGACATTAAATATATTATTCTACATATTTTAACGCTTGACCCAAAATTATCAAGCATTAAAACTACTATCGTCAATAAACATACCCTTATAAGCCTTGAGGATCTTTATTATACGAGAAAATAAATCTTGTCATTGAATCCTTCAAAGACTATTCTTCGTTGATTCCTCCTCTCCATTGCACTCCATGGTTACTTTATTGCAACTAGAGGGAAACAAGAGTCACTTACAATAATATACCCTTTGTTGAGGTTTCTCTTCCGAAGCTTACCCGACTCATTTTGCTCACTCTCCTTCATTGGCAGAAGGTGGTTAACTTTGCTCAATTTACATCAAATGTTAAATTTATGCCAAACATAGACATTCTACCCCTCAATGCTGAAACACCAAAAAAACTTTAATTATTTACCCCTTCCATGCAACAAGCATTCATTATCACTTTTCCAACTTCAACCCCAAATTGGTTCTTAGATTCTAGAGCATCTTCACACTCCAGTTCAAATCTCTCTTCGCTTCGCCAATCCACCATGCAAAAGTATGACAAGTTCTTCATAGAAATGAATATTCATTACAAATCACATAAAAGTTTTATGGTTGCTTCCAACTTTTTCCCACAAGCTTATTCTTTCTCCTCTGCTTCACATTAAAAATATATCTCTTAATTTGCTTTCTATTCAAACAATTATTGTTGATAATCATTTTTTTTTGTCCCTTGATTCTTTTGGATAGAATATAAAGGTTTTGACATCAAATCTCTTCTTCAAGGACCTTGCCATAACAGCATGTGATTTAAGGATTTGCTAAGCTCAAGCCCAGCATGACTCGAAACTCCTTTTTATTAGGGGAAACCCACAAAGGGGCCTAAACATAGATTAGAATAAAAATTACAAGATCCTTAAAAGCTATCTCGAGCTCACTACTGCTCAAAAGAGCTATAAAAAAGTCAAAGAAAAACTTAGGAGCTCAAGATATCAACAAATCAACAATACCAAAAATCCTAGGTACATTCTAGGGAACCAAAAGGCCAACACCTTAAAAATAAAGAGAGAGAAAAAGATTGCCCTTAATCTCCATCTCTCCACCAATAAAATTATGAAACAAAAATCCTGCACAAAAAGGAACATGCAAAAAACGTATGAGAACGAAAAGTTCAAACAACAAAATTCAAACCTAGCATGGTAGTTAACACATATGTTGAAAGAGTCACCTGCAAAGATAAAGATTATAGCCAAATAAATGCACCCAAAATAAAAAAAAAAAACTCAAAGGGAGAGTTACATATTATAAATTTAGAAATAAGATAAAGTAACACAATTCTCCTCCAGTAAAAAACTATTATAAGACTATCACCAAAATGGTCAAACCCATCAGCATAAAATAGAACAAAGAGAGCATGGAAATCTAACAGTAGAGAGAAATCAAGCAGCCATCGAGAGGTAGCACCAAAACCCCCAGGTAAAACACAAAGTCGTATGAATAGGTGAAGTAATACACATAGCAACAAACATCTGAATAAATTTATAACTTTTAATTGAAAAGAGAATCACAAATCATCTCATAAACTAGTTGATAATAATCCTTCAAAATAGCCCCAAATCACTAAGGTTAGCAATATCAATAGTTACGTTATAGCCATGGGTTAAGCAACAATAGATATCATGATAATCACAAGGGAAATAAGCCCAAAGATCCCCCACATTCAGCAGCATATTTTTAAGCCACATATGGAGAATAAACATAGCATGAAGGGTCCTAATCTGAATGATACAATGTTTCAGGTGTGCATTATCATGTTAAAATAACCCATATAAATTACCTAGTACTATATTCTAAACCACCACCGATGCAAAAAATAATATCACCCAATGAGAGAAACCCCATTTAAACCATTAGTAAAAAGGGAAAAAAATCCTAGTGTAATGAAATAGATACATAGCATATCCCACTATATTCCACAGCCAGGGAGCAAAAATTAGTACACCCATCTCCAAAATCGGCAAAACAAATTCCCAAATCAACCAGCCACTAAGGATATAAAAAATAAGTGATTCCATCCGATCATCCATAACAATCACAAGGCAATTACTCTTCCTTAGATATAAGAAAAGCAGCATATGAGATTGTGGCTATAAAAAAATACATTCCAAACATTTCCAGCAAAATTCACAACTAAAATAGCACTTTTGATGGAAAAAAACAAAATAATACAACAAAATCTAGTCCAAAAAAACCCAGGAAATCCAAAAGAATAGAAGGGTAAAGCTAGAACAACGGTTAATGAGGAAGAGGAGTAAACCACTATGAGTTTCTAACATAAGGAAACCCCAATTTGTCTAATATGATGAGACCTTTAACAAAAAAAGGTAAATTATGATAAAAAAGAATAGTACGAAATTGGAAATTACAACCAAGATTGGTTAACCTATCAGCATAAGCATTTCCCTCTCTATGAACATGAGATATTTTAACATTTAGCAGATTTATATAATGCTAAATGTCTCTAAGCAGATAGAAAAGATTAGGGGTACAGGTAACCCTAGTTATATGCCTTCTATTATGCAGACATTAAGGATTTTTTTTTTTTTTTTAGATTCAATATATTCGCATAGATCAATTGCCATTGCTGAACAAGTGCCATTGATGGACCACCACCTTCATTGGACCACCACCAACATTATAGTGTCTCCTAACCACCATTGTTGGATGTTAGCAACCTGACCACAATTACCAAACCACTTCCATTTGTCAAATCACAAACATCAAATCATTGCAACTTGACCACTTCATTTGATATCCACTATTTAAGCATCATTATTTAATAATTGCCTTCACTAAACAACAACCATTGGACCATCTTCGCCCAATCATAGTTATCAGGTCAGCATTACATGTCCAATAATATTGGATCATCGTCACTCTTCTACAACTATTTGAATGCTTTCTACACAATATCAACTTTGTGATATATTTGTACTAACTTACCATACACTTATAAACTTGTCATCTCCAAGTCAAGAGATAGCCAGACATTTATAATCAACATTTTCATACTAAAATAATCATTTTAGCTAGGAAAAGGCCTCATGGTTTTCCCTTTTTTGAATTTTTTATATAAAAAATTTAGTGTCATTTATGCTCTTTTCATTTATATATTTGTGAATAATCACACATGCATTCATAAATATCTACCAAGTAATGATAGAATAACACAGCCTTTAATGGAGTCCTATATGAGGACTCAGCTGTCCATATCAATAGAGGTCACTCACCTATGTTTTTAGGCACTCATTCTACATGGAGAAACTTGAAAGTTTCCCATCAAGTCAGCAACTAAGTTTTCACCAAATGCCTCATCTCTCTATCAACAATTGGCTTCATCTTACAAAGACCATCCCTCAATCTAATATCAGCTAAAGGAAAGTGCCCATCTAGAGTTCCTAACTCACCCTATCAGTACCTACCTACCCTCGATCTCTCAGCTAGCTCAACTAACTCACCCCATTCCTTCATGATGACTCAAGATTCATCATATTAATTTAGCAGCTTCTACTCAACATCATATCACCAAATGCTTTTCATTCTATATTTGCTAGGAAGATTAACCAATAACATGGGGTTTATCTTCTTCTGAATTCACCTAGTGAATGCTTAATGCCACCTCACTCACATAAGGATAGATCATTTATTAGGAGACTACA